ATGGATGGATGGTTGTGGTAGAGGTGTCAGCTTTTCTCCTGACCAGATCCTCGCTTGTGTTGATTCTGCTCTCAGACGTACGGCGCTGTGGATAAAAGCATCTGCTGATGAAATAGTGACTTGTAGAGACTGTAGTGGACTTTTGTGTTGTTGATTGTGCATGATCTTGTTCTGTGTCATCACACACATGCAGACATTAAAGACATGCAGCACGGCTGCTCCTGTGATGCAAAACACGACTTTTTAATCATGCAAACTGCTGCTGCTGTAAATAAAATGCATCTTTTAGGTCAATGTTCACATTATGTCCCCACAGCACAGACAGATGTGGACCGCTAAATACATTACATAAAGAGCAAAACGTCTACAAAGAGACAACAAGCACAAAAAGACACGCAAAGAAGCTGCAACCAGGAAGTCACAGAACAGTTAGAACGAGACCCAAGATGATGCAAAATACCTGCAAGATATACAAACACAGCTGAGCGGTTCGTGGATGTTTTATGTCTGCAGCACTCTTGTGTAGAATTGGAGGCTGGTTTACTTTGACCCAAGCAACCATTGTTTCCCTGTAATCCATCCATGTATAGAAGCTGGCGCTGCTTAGATTATCATATTTTACTGTACTTCTTGCAGTCAGCGATGCATCACGCTTCTATGCAAATGCTCTGAAGAGACACTTCAAGTTTTCATGAGACATCAGTGTAAACGTTATCAGGCTCATTTTCCTGAGGCCATACGATCCACTGTCTGCTACACACAGCTGCTCAGTCTGTCACTGCTCACACTCGGACCGAGGAAAGTTTGCAGTTTTCTCTCTTTTCTGGTTTATCTTTTTAAATTCTCTTTAAAAACACACTTTCTGCTTCACAATGTGCGGTCTCTGCAGCATCAAATGTTGCTTCATTTTCTTCAACACGCTCTTCTTGGTAAGTAAAGTGAGCAATTCAATTTATGAATTAAATTGTTTGGAGAAGTTCGGATCGATGACACTAATCGTTTATATAATACCGACAGAAAATTGGATTTCAGAAGGTGCTATTTACTCTCATTAACATTTTTAGCAGGAGTAGAATAAGTAGTGTCAGCAGCAGTAAAAGAAGACCAAAGATGATAATAACTTCTTCATATTCATGGTTTTTTTTTTTAACTACACCGCTGCTGCAAGCTAAACTGTATTTATTTCAGATTGCTATGATTGATTTGTGCATGAGATTAATTACACGACTGCAAAACAGTTGCACGAAAACACAAATCGCTCTCATGAGAATACGCAGCGAGCTAATAACTGCTCTGAAGAAGCACAGGACGCCTGCTGCTTCTGTAATAATCCTTTTGGCTGACGCTGTTACTGAATGCAGGGGAGTGGATGTAATCTGTAGCATCAACAGAATTAATTTGTCCTTCCAAACGTATCAAACACAGTCACATTAGGCAGTTGTGTGGGTTTCCCTGGTCGAGAATGGCGTCCAGCTGGAGGACAATCAGTGTCGTGGTCAGATAAACCACCAAGGGGTCCTGGGTGCTTCCTGACACGTCCAAAGAGAAGAAGAAGAATTGGCAAAACCCTAAAAACTATCCCTGGCTTTGCTTTGAATATCACTTCAGAGAAAACTTGACAAACTGTTGAAAAGCTTTTATTTTAATGATCAGACCTGTTGCTGCTGCTTTCAGCTGTGTTGGCTTAAAGTCAGTATTTATCTCTGTATTCCTGCATTACTCACATAGTTGTGCATAACTCCAAATCACTTTTCCGCCTGCTTTTGTTTTTTGGCCAACCTCTCACATGGATTTATGTCAGGAATATTAGCTCAGCGGCAGAAGTGGGTTCACTGGGTTTCGTGTTGCTTTATAAACCAGTGCATTAACGTCCAGTTGCTGAACTTGTTCTTCAGGCTTCTGGGGTCGCCCTCATCACCATCGGAGTCCTGCAGTACTCAACGTACTCACAGATGGGCGCCTTTGCAGGGAGCAGCGTGTCCAAAATTGCGATTGTCCTCATTTCAGTGGGTGTCGCCATCGCCGTGGTGTCCCTGCTGGGTCACGTCGGTGCCTTCATGAATAACTCCTCCATGGTGGCTTGTGTAAGTAGCATCATTAGCTCTGGATGAGCGTTGCATAGATTTTATTAGGAACATGTTGGTGGGATTTTGAATATATATTTTGAATTGTGTGTTTGTTTGTTTTTTGGACAATCACCAAAGATTTCTCAACGAATACGTCCAAATGTACTCATTTTCACTTTGGTGCATTTAAAGGAGATGGAACTGATGTCTAACCCCTGTCACTCTGTTTCTCCATCAATCAGTTCATCTGCATCCTGATAGTGATCATCATTTTGGAGATACTCACAGGAGCCGTCTTTTACGTATTTCGAAGCAGGGTGAGGCTCTTAAATCCTATCATCAGGCATCAACAATGCCTCTCAAGGCATAATGGAAGTGGAACTGCTCTAAATAAAGCAAAGTTCTGGTGTCATTGTGGAAATATTTGAACCTTTTTGTTCTCTGCAGACTGCCATTCTGCAGGCTAACAGTGCCATCAACATGAAGGCTCGAGCAGTGATCAATGAATACAGCGTGGAGAAGAGACACGCCATCAACAGGATTCAGGAAAAGGTGACATGCAAAACGCACTGTTTGATATTTGCAAGTATTTGTTGATAGATTGGAGTGAATGTGTAGAGCCTGGTAGTCAGCATGAACCACTAAAGGAGCCAAGGGCCAGAAGGCTTAAATACTGAACAGTTCACAGTCATAGTACTGTGGAATAGTCATTACAGCTTCTTCAGCCCTTCTACACGATGAGGCCTCAGTGTTAAATACTGGCACCGGTGGTACCTTTCACTTTACATTTCACTTTATGTTACCAAAGGCGAGGCTGGAGCCTGAATTGCTGAAGAGGAAATCATTTTTATGATACAACAATGCTGTGGCTAAGTTTCTGTTTTAGGGATGAAAACATCTTGCTTAAGTTTGTTGAAAATACATCATTTGGGTAAAAAAAAACAATAATTACCTTGTTAAATTTCACAATGAAAAATGAACAGATAAGGTCAAGCCATTCATCCATCCTGACCTCCTCCCTGCTCAGACTGTGCAGCTCTTTAAATAACAGGGAGACGCAGCTTCTGGTCTGAAAAGTGAAGCAAACGCCCAACTCCCATAAACCTGCATTCTCTCTAGCAGCCAGCAGGGGGCGACCCCTCTGGTTGCAAAAATAAGTCTGATTGTGTCGTTGTCTATGAGGAAATAAATCTACTTCTTCTTTGATTTATCACCTTAAACATTTGCCCAATCAGTGTACAGTCTCAGTCATTAGTTTAAAGACTTTCTGAACACAGCATGATGCTCATTTTGTACATTTTAGTCCAAATTTAAGGAAAATATTTACCAAAGCAGTTAGAACCAGCAATAAATTGAGCTTCAGTGCTTCACTACCACATTGTAATCCTTGTTCCAGTTCAGCTGCTGCGGTGCAGACAGCTACACCGACTGGTCCAGAAGTGTGGGCTGGGAGAACCACGAGGCCGTGCCGGATTCCTGCTGCGTGGAGAAAACTGAAGGGTGTGGACAGGACAAGGCAAAAGTGCACACAAAGGTCTGCTGAGAAAAGTCACTTTAGCTGAATGACAGCTTCATGTTATTTCTGTGAAGACGTGTCATGTGAGTGCGTGCACCTCCTCAGGGTTGTATCTGGGCCATCAAGCTGTTCCTGCTGAAGAATTTCCTGTGGGTCGGCGCCGTCTGCATCGCTCTTGGAGTCACAGAGGTAAATAGATGATTTTCTGTATCTAACTTTGCAATATGAGGTCAAATATGTGCGTTGCATATGAGAATGTCGCACCAAAAATGATGTTCTATGCTGTCAAAGAAAATAACATGTGGATCCATCTGGTGTGTATCATCCGTCTTTCTGATCAGAACTGGTTCCGTTGACAGGAACAGCGCTTATTAATGAACAGCAAAACCAAACAGGAGCCAGCGTTCGCCCAGAATGGCTCATTTACATCTGCTGGCTCTAGCAACAGGTCAAACTGTCCCTCTGAACAGGGTACAATAACAGACATTAAATAAATGCATCTTCAGAAAAACTAAAACAACACATACTGGTCTGTAATGTTCTACTATTTGAAAATGCTCATGTGAGCAACGGCAGACATCTGAGAAGTACGAGTAGGATGAATGATAACACAGCCTATCTCGTCCTCACCGCCCCAGGCGGTGAAATTTCAGAATTAATTAATTTTTTTTTCTCTGACAGAGAAAATGTCTTTGAGTTCATTTGCTGCCAGTAACTTCTAACCTTTTGCCTCTCGCAGGTTTTCGGCGTGTTGGTCGGGGTGTGTTTGTGTCTGGACATAAAAGGGAAGAGCTATGAAAACCTCAACTAGAGCAGCAGCGCAGTCGTCCTCCTGCATCACCGACACATTTGGTCCATTTGATCTGCGCTTCTGTTTTATTTATTAGCAGGTTATTGATATGTTTGAAAACAGCCACAAAAAAACTGCTCAGAGAAACTGTTGGTCTATTATTGATTAGAATGACATCGCAAACACCCACTATGACAGTCTGACAGTGAAATTTCCTTCCTACTATGAACCTGGCTAATAAATGTGAGATATATCTGGGACGCCGTGGTGTGGTTCAGTCTGTTCACATTTAACAACCGACTCCAAGAACTTTTGAAAAGCTTTTCCACTGAAGTTATTGACATTTCAAACAGTCTGCCTTTAGCAGGGAGCTCTGCGTGTAAACGTTTTGCTGAGCACAAAATCATTTAGTAGATGATCATTTGCATTTTGTGGGGGTTGTTGTTCAACAGGAAAAGTTGGCTACAGCTTGGTTCCCAGTAGGCATCTCTGGTCTCTGATTGGATGTTGAGGCTGAGAGCTGCAGAGCATCAGGCTGCTGAAAGCTTTGAATCTGGTCTCAGTAAACCAAAGTGGCAACGTCACCGTAAACTACAGCGACATTATGTGCAAGTTAACTGAAGACATTCTGCTCACATTCCCCCTGCTGTCAAAGGGTCTTCTTCTTCTTCTTTGTTTTTTTTGCCTGTGTCCTACAATAATAATAAATAAAATCACCTTCCAGCCATTGATCGTCCCCTAAAAACTCATCTCTGTGTATCAGAGCTACACATTTATCAGTTTTCCCCATTAAAACCAGCCTCTAAATGGTTTAGATGGAACTCTACTTTCTTCAGTGTGCAGCTCTATAAAGTCCTCGCCTCCGTCTACTTCCACCCCACTCCACTTGTTGCAGCTCAAGCACACCAGCTCACCTGCAACTCTGCTCAAACACGACAGAACTGCTCTACACTACACAGCTGTAACGCTGGAGTAACTCAGCCGTACACGTTTGAACTGATTCTGGAGGAGAAGAATGATTGAGGAAGTCCCAGTCTGCAAGCTGACAGGATTGGTCCTTCAGGTTTGTTCTGTATGAAACCCTGGAAGTCTGAATCTGTGTGTTTGAGTTTGTCATTGCACTGCTTATCTCATACATGATGTGTCTTGTAGCCTATTAAACACAATATGGACATGTCATGGTGAAATGTAACGTTAAAAAAATACTACAGGAGGCCTTTAGATAGTTTAATTCAGCAAAACAGTAGTTTCTTATCTCTGGAGCAGTAAAACTACCCAGAAGGCATTTACACAATTAAAAAAATATATAAATAAAAAATAGAAAACATGTTCAGATGTAGTTTTCCTTTTCTTATTGTGTTTTGTAATTATTTTCCTTTCTCATGTACACAGTGGACAGTTTACAAAACCAAAACATCACAAACCTCCCGAGCATGCGTGCTGCTTCACCCGTCGCCGAACCACATTTCCCAGAAACCCTCTGCAGGAAACGCGTCCGGTCACGAAATCGGTCCGACTCGCAACAAACCCGTAACAGCGCTGAACGTAGCATGTGTGCGGCAGCAAGACAGAAAACTGACTGAAAATCAGAGTTTTATCGGCGACATTAAAACTGAAAAAGAAAGGTAAAAACACGAGTTCTTTGTGATATTATTTACGACCCCTAAAAGTCATAATAAATATATTTTATCTAACTTCTAGCTAACAGGCTACATGTAGCGTGTAGCCGCTCAGTGAACTGGTGACCAACTCCAGCTAGCTGTACAGGTGAATGCATTAAAGTGGAAGTTATACCGCCTAACCTGCTGCTACATGACGTAAACAAAGAAGAAATACTCATTTAGATAAATAGGTGTGTTTAATTCATTAGCTGACATTTAGGATGAGTAGAAATATTTAAAAGGTCTTTCTTCTGTGCTTTTCATTTAGAAACATGTCAGATGCTTTAATCCAGCGAATGAAGGAGCTGGAGGCAGAGCTGGAGAAGCTCAGGTCCCAGCTGAAGGGCAGCAGTGGAGCTGGAGCTGAACTGGAAGCGATGTCCAGCCCGTCTCCTAATGAAAGCACACGCTGCAAATCTGATGGCAGCACCAGCAGTGGCAAGAAGGACAGAAAGAAAGCAGGCAAAGAGCGTCCCTTTGACTTCTCCGGACACCCCCGGCGCCATGTGGCTCTGCGGCTGGCTTATCTGGGTTGGGCCTACCAGGGGTTTGCGGTTCAGGAGAACACAGACAACACTGTGGAGGCCAGACTCTTTGAAGCTCTGCTGAAGACTCGGCTGATTCAGGACCGGCAGAGCTCCAATTACCACCGCTGCGGTCGCACTGATAAAGGAGTCAGTGCTTTTTCTCAAGTGAGTTCACTGAGATGGAAATTCACCTTCATCAGTCGCAGTCCGTTAATTAGGGACGTGACAAATGTGGTGCAGGAATTTGCTTTAAAGTGTAGCCCAGAGGAGAAATCTGCGGGGCTGTTCCATGATTTTGTTGGACGTCCTTTAATTTCAAACAGCTTTTCTCAACATGCACAGATGCAGAGAGAATGCACGCCACAGAAGAGTGCTTTTGCAATGCTCTGACTTTAAACTGATCTTTTCTTCACAGGTCGTAACCATCGACTTGCGCTCCACACAGTTTTGTGGAGGACTGGGCATCACGCTCCCTGAAAGTGTAGACGTTCCAACCAAATCAAAAGCTGCAGCCTCTGAGCTCCCGTATGTGAAGATGCTGAACAGAGTCCTGCCGCTGGACATCAGGGTTTTGGACTGGGCGCCGGCAGCAGACGGTTTCAGTGCTCGCTTTGACTGTCAGTCCCGCACATACCGCTACTACTTCCCCCGAGGATCCTTGGATGTAGCACTGATGGCAGACGCTGCAAAAAGGTGGGTGAAATCCTAGAAACCGATGTTACAGCCCCTTGAAGTTACAGTTTTGACTCGAGGACCTCTTCACACCCAACAGATACGAGGGCACTCACGACTTTCGCAACCTGTGCAAGATGGATGTTGGCAACGGAGTCCTGCAGTTTGAGAGGACCATCTTGTCAGCCACGGTGACGCCTGTGCAGCCTCAGCACGGCTCCAGCACAGACCAACATGACCTCTTCATATTTGAGATTAAAGGATTAGCCTTTCTTTACCACCAGGTACGAAGACAGATTTATTCTGGGCTCACACACAAGCTATGTTCATTTCAGAGCTTTATATTCATATAAAATGGGATGTTTTTTAGATGTTTTCAATCCTTTTTGTGGAGGTAGTCTCTTTCAGAGTTAAATACTTGGATTAATGGCGTTTACAGTCGGTTTCGTCGTGTTGTGCTGCAGGTACGCTGCATGATGGCAGTGCTTCTCCTGATAGGGCAGAAGCTGGAAGCCCCAGAGATCATTAACCAGCTCCTAGATGTTGAGAAGAACCCCAGGAAGCCCCAGTACAGGTAGAATGCATGACAGCTCTGCAGACATTCCCATTTATTTATTTTTTTGCCCATAATGAGAAATGTAACATTTTTTACAGCTATAAATAAAAAGTCTTCTGTGTTAACTAAATTAAAAGTTAGGGATGCACGATATATCAGCAACCACGTCGGTATCGGCCGATATCAGTGTTCTTTCCCGATATATCGGTATCAGTCCGATGAACAAACTCAGCCGATGATCGTCTAACGTCAGCGCCTTCGTCTCTACATCTGATGTCGCTGCTATTTCACAGATGTTTGTACTTAGATGTTCCTGGACTTCAATGTTAAATGTGTTTAAATATGTTTTACTTTTGTAGTAAAGAAGACCATGTGGTCTAATCTGGGCTTCTTCTGAATAGTTCTCACGTTGTCATAGTGCTTACTGATTCTCATTTTTCGGTGTGAACAAAAGTCGAATATCGTCATCGGTGATATCGGTTATCGGCGATATCAGAACTCTTAATATCGGTATCGGCCAGAAATATTAATATCGTGCATCACTATTAAAAATGATAGCAACCATTGAACCACAGCTGCGTAATGTGAATCTGACTTTCTCGTGTCGTCGGTCTCTAGCATGGCCGTGGACTTCCCTCTGGTGCTGTACGACTGCCACTTCGATGGTCTGAGCTGGAAGCAGGAGGCTGAGGAAGTGACTTACGTCCTGTCTGCGCTGCAGCAGCACTGGACGCAGAGCGCAGTCAAAGCCCACGTCCTGCACGGGATGATCCAGGCACTGGAAGCCAGAGGTGAGAAGCTGGATGAGATGAATTAAGGCGTGTCAACATACAGGCAGGTGACAAACTAATGGAAAAACCTGTGATTAGGATCTGAAATGTTTCATCACAGGATAAAGGTGGCCACGCACTTTGTATTGATTTGCAGGGATCTTTCCCTCTAACTGGGACAGTTGGATCCAAACCATGCCAGCAAAATGCCCCCATAGCAACACAGCGCCACCAGATCACCTCACTGGAGGGCTCAGAGCTTCAGGTTTCTCCTTTAAAGCCCCAGTGTGTTGGATTTATTGGCATTTAGAGCAGATTGCAGGAACTGAGCCTCCCTCACTTCATCTCACCTTGTAAGAAATGTAAAGAACAAGAAAGACATGTTTTCTGTTGTTTCTAACTGAGTCTCTGCAAACATGGCTGAACATGACTGACATTGCTGAAGCTAAAGTCCAGCCCTCCTATGCACTGTACATCCATACGGTTCTCACCCACTGACATGACGTTGGCTGTAAACACAAGAGGGAACGTTGTGAGCCACTATAGAAGCGTGGCGATGCAGCGCAGCAGGTTCTGTGGTTTGTAGACATAAAGGTCTCATTCTAATGTCACTAAAACATAAAAGCTTTTATTTTCAGCTGATGAGACACTATTGTGAATACTGTCTTATCTTTCTGCCATAAATCCGACACACTGGACCTTTAATTTGTCACCTGTCTGTAGAAGCCGTCGCTGCATTCGGCGTGACTGCAGTGAGTCGTAGGTCACCTCAGTTTGGAAGCAGCTCCATCATGAACCAAACAGTAAATATTGGGAATTGCAGCTAAAGTCACAGACTTTTAACAAACTGTTACCTACAAAATGTGAGTAGAACTGGTTGATGGTTGATGCTGAAGAAATCCCTTTAAGACGAACACACCTGTGGCCTCGATAAACAATGAGGTGGCAGAATGGAGCCGGTGTTCACACTGTTCACAGACGTTATGTCTGAATTTAGGGGCTTCCTTCATGAACATAACGACAGAACTGCACTCTGGTATGTTTTAGCATCACTCCACTGCTTCCAAAATAGACATAAAACATGCATTTAGATGCATGAAATACGTTCCTATGACAGTGATAGCACCATCAAACCTTTAGAAACCCATTTAGCTTAGACCTAAACCGCCATAGTAAACCTCACAGTCTTCTTCTTTTACTGCCGACGTGTTGGCTTGTCATAGCAGGGAAAGCACAGGTGGAACTGATGAACATGAAATGCCAGTATTCCCTTTAGGTGAGCTTGTTCCAGGGTTATTGTGTTGCTCAGGCTCACTGGGACACTTCATAGAACTGAGCCATCTGTGGAGAAAACACTGGCCTCGCTGGTGCTTTTCCCGCCAAATCAACATCTCTCCTGGGAACAAAGTTATATTGGGTTGTATTTAAATCACGTCACTGGTTTCCATCCACAGGAGCTGCGTCCGCTGGTCACTGCTGGTTAGTCGAAGGCAGCAGGCAGAGAAAGTACCGGCCGCTGCTGGAGCGTCCGTGCTGCGAGAGCCTGGAGTCCAGGATCAGCCATTTTGTTAAGAGAGGCAGACTGGAGCGGGAGGAAGGGGAGAACGGCGGCGAGACGGTGCACCGAGGAAAAAGGTCCAAACATTCCCACAACTCCTCCAGTCTGCCTGCTTCTTCTGAGAGTCCAAAACAGAGGACGGATCAGGAAGTAGAAGACTAGTACTTACACTGGACACTGGACTGCCAGACTTAGGCCTTGTCCACACTAACGTGGATATTTCACGTTTTCCTGTTTTCACGTCTCATCCACACATAAACAAACTGAGATGTTCTTCAAACAAACTCCCTTTTATGTGCATCTGTGTGGACGTGTAGTAAACGGATGGTTCATTTGTGTTGCTTCATGTAATAAACAGACTTCACACAACAGCTGGATCTGGTTCTGTACATTTACTAAGCACGAGTAATTACAGGTTTACAACTCTACTGTTATGCTAGTCTCTGTTTTTATTAATGTATGGGATCATTTGATTTCATTTTTCATTTGTACTGAAGTATTTTGTAAAGTAATATTTGAGTGGGCAGGTTTTCTTTGTTTTACAGCAATAAGGCCTGAACGTTGTCGTCATTTAATTCATGCAAAAATCTTAATTCCACATTTTATCTCATGAAACAAACAACTGTTTATCTGTTTATTTTGTGAAACAGAAATAGTTTTCATTCATGCATTTATTTGCTTTGTTTTAAAATAAACACGTTTCTGAGGAGACTGATCTGAGCTTGTTTACGACCCAGGAACGGGAACCAGGCGGAACCAACGGCAGCACGTGAAGGAGAGGTCGGGAGGTTTTCGAGGTGGCGCATGTCAAGCTAAGAGGCTAGGTGGTTAGCAGTCAGTAGAGTACAGTCAGAGTTACAGACGGTGATAAAATAGAACCGGTCCGAGTCCGTCAAAGCCGTTCGCTCGTCTCCGTGTTGACGTGAACGCGCTGAAAATGGCGCCGCCGCCGTGTGACTGCGCGTCCGCGGCCGTCTGGACCTGATCAACTCTTATGCTAACGTTAGCCTGTTAGCATCCCTGGTTGTTTACTGCACCTGCCTCCTGCGCCGCCCGGTCCTCCGCCGCTCGTCCAGTCGGTTTAACGGAGTCTGTGAAGCTAACAAGGTAAAGAAACAAACACACAACGCGTCTGTGTGGTTAGCAGGGAACACAACGAGTCCAGTTCTGCAGACAAGCAGCTACTGAGCCGGTGTTGACGGGATTTAGGGGTTAGGAGGCTAAACAGTGAGAGTTCAGCTGGTAGTCCAGAATAACTCCACAGCTCAGCTTCCAAACCAGTTTCACTTCATCAGTGGGACAGCTGGGGCGTGCAGAGCGCAGCTTCCCCAGCAGGGGGCGTGTTGGTAGACCCTGTGCCAGTCAGCATGTCAACCACAGAGCAAGAACTGTTGAACACATGATGACCAGTCCTCCTCCAGATCAGAGGTTACCACTGTTCCTCTTTACACCTGTAAGAGCAGCTCTACAGTGGCTGCGTTCATCCATCATGTCACCTCTGAACACGTCTTTATTTAACCTGCTGTCTCTGACTGGACTTCATCTGTGTTTAGCTGCTGTCACGTGAACCCCACTGGTGTTGGATCCACATCTGGTCATTTTATGTCTGCAGGGATTCTCAGTATGTGTTTATTGGAACTATTGTGCGTTGATATGAGGATAAAATGCTATTTTTATGACTAGTTTGTAGGTATTTATTTCACTTGTTATTTAGACATTTATATATTTAATATTTCCTTATTATTTGCGTATATTGGTTGTATTTGGAGGGCTGCTCAGTGGTTAGCACCGTGACCTCACAGCTAGAAGGTCGCCGGTTGGCGTCCCGGTGAGGACACCCGGGATCTTCCTGCGTGGAGTCTCCATGTTCTCCCCGTGCAGCGTGGGTTCTCTCCGGGTTCTCCGGCTTCCTCCCACAGTCCAGAAACATGCTGAGGTTAATTGGTGATTGTAAATTGTCCGTAGGTGTGAATGTGAGTGTGCTTGGTTGTCTGTCTCTAAGTGTAGCCCTGTGATAGACTGGTTACCTGTCCAGGTGAACCTGCCTTCACCCTGAGTCAGCTGGGATAGGCTCCGCCCCCCTAGTGAGGATTAAGGTGTAGAGATGATGGATGTATTTGGTTGTATTTTCCAACCAGCCCAGCTTTGGTCCTTGAACTAATTCTGTTCTTTGTGTGACTTTGTGTTTTTGTTCATTTCATCACTAACGATGGTAGGAACATAATTATTACTTTACTAACTTGGAGTGCATGTTTTAGTCAGATTCCTTAATTAATCGTCGGCCAGGTGGGCAAACGAGTCGACTAATGAATGAACTTCAGTGAACTTTATTCCATATGTGGAGCAAACCACACAATGCTCTCTGTGAAATCAGCTCAGGTTTATGAGGAAGTTGAAGAACAGATGAAGTAAATGCCAGGTTACTGAACAAAACCCAAAGTATTATCACTGCAAGATAAGATGAAATAAGATAAAACTATTAAAGTAAATTCTTTTTCCAGATGTTGCTCAGAGAACTAAATGACATGACATGAGGATAAATGACGTGCTGAGTGTAAAAGCAAGAAGAAAATAAATTACTACAAATATTCATAATTGAGCTAAAATAAAACTGGAGCAGAAAAACGCTGGCGGTGCTTCTTCAATGTTGTCACACATGAAACGGACATATTTCATCTCCGTTACCGATCTGTAGTGAACCAGCGGTAGTGTTGTTGGTCTCCTCACAGTCAGTTTGATGTCAGAATGATCCTCGTACCTGATCTACGTGATGGAGTGACGTGTTCACTGTCGATGGTCCAGCTGCTGTTAACAGCTGCTCGGCTGGAGCAGATGTCCACAAATACTGTCGCAGCCACTCGGTCAGTCCAGGAAGTCTGTCAGTATTTACTCCTAGAATGTGTTTGTACTCAGAGCAGATCCACTTCATCGCTTCAGTCTGGTGACGGTGGAAGCTTGTAATCAGAGCCAATCAGAGAGTTCCTGTCACTGACACTGGCTGGATGTGTCCTCCTGTGTGCTGGCTTTAGGATGTACCTGGTGGGACTGACGGGAGGGATCGCCTCAGGAAAAAGCACCGTGTCTTCAATGCTGCGGGAGCTCGGCTGCCCTATCATTGATGCTGATGTTGTGGCCAGGAAAGGTAGGAGAATGTTGCTCCTCTGCAAACTGTTCAGCAGTGATGGATTACATGTAATTAGTAGTATGTAATCAGATTACAACAAATAAACAACTATAATCAGCCTGAAAAAAATGTGCAGTTGAATGATCGTTACCTTGTGAGTTTCTACAGTTTGATTACATCTTTAAAATATTTTAAAACTATGAAACTCTTGTGTTTTTAATGATAGATTTTATTCCATTTTATTGAAAATGGCGCTCCTCCACAGAGCTCCGCTTACTTTCCAAGACGAAGGTGCACCTCGTGGCTTTGATTAGAGACCAGCAGCAGGAGAAGACGTGTGGTGCTCCTGTGGTTTGTCTCAGCTCTGTGGGGTCATTCAATAAGATCCACTGTGAATGCAGGAAACACAAGAATTCACTTCAGAATATTTTGAAACCTGAAATTTAGGTTTGGTGTTACTCACATCACGTTTTCGTTGTAATGCAGTGGGCTGCTAATCACAACTACTGCCGTGCCATTAGTATTCAGTAACTGGCTGCGTTTCAACGTGGGCCGACCCTTCATGGTATTTACAGAGCGACTATAAAGTCAATGCAGAATACTGGTCCACAGTGTCATCCAGTCGGAGTCTTCTTCAGGCGACAGTCTCTCAGATAAAGTCGCTTCATTAAGACAAACGCTCGGAGAGAGAGCGTGAATCATGAAGGATGTCTCTGCTGACTGCCGGGATGATGTTGTGCTTATGTGGGGAAGATAAAAAGGTCACAGGACTAGGTGACGAGTGCACAGCTGCATGCGGGAGAAAATCTGAGGCACTGGGGAAATGATTTAATTGCAGTCAGGTAATGAGTCACTCAGGTGTGAGGAAGATGTCTTTAACTTTCACCTTTTTGTCACGTAAGCTGGTGCAGTTGTTTTTTATTTGGCCTATTCCTTGGTTACTCTAACAATAAAAAATACCAAATGTTGCCGTCTTTTCTCGGTACCAGTCGTGGAGCAGCACACGCTCGCCTATTCCCGCATCGTCTACCACTTCGGCCCGGAGATTCTGCTGGAGAACGGGGAGATCGACAGGCAGAAGCTGGGCCAAATCATCTTTGCCAACGAGGAAAAGAGGAAGCTGCTGAACTCCATCACTCACCCAGAGATTCACAAAGCAATGCTCAAAGAGATCCTGTTCTACTTTCTCAGAGGTGAGGGAGGAACCGGGTTTGGGGCGCTGCTAGCTTAACAAGGAAGAGGAGGATCATTTATTGAAATTGAGCCAAGGCTGTGTCGCGGTGGAGGCAACGGGTTCGAGGCGGTTTCTCGCAATGCTTTACAGATTGGTCTCTGCCAGCCACATATAAGAGATATCTGAAAATGTTCTCCATCAAAACACAAACAACATGACTCACTGTCAGCGGATTGGTTCGTCCGCTGCTCGAGATCTCACAAGTGTCCTGAAATCACCTTCTCATGCGCCGCTTGTTGTATGTTCTTGAAGTGATTATTTAGCTGTGTTAGCGATGTTTTTACAGCGTTGGAGTGCAGATGTGTTGACACTAATTAAATCACTGTCACAGCGGCTCCCTTCCTCTTCCGTCTCCTCAGGGTACCGCTACGTGGTGCTGGACGTGCCCCTGCTCTTTGAAACCAGACGCCTGACTCAGTTCCTCAACCACACTGTAGTAGTTTACTGGTAAGACCAGCGTCCCCCCAACACCTGAGAGTTTTACTTTCACACTGTTTGTTTGCACTTTTCTTTTCTGAAATTATTCAATGTTTTCCAGGTTTGTTTTTGACAGACACTGGCCATTAAGCCCAGTTCTGTGAGTTCTAGGGAACCTCTCTGCAGCTCTCTTATTAGCGTGACTCACTGCCTCTGGATTTTTATTTTAACAAGGCACACTGGCTGCACCCTAAAATAACCTCCCATTGTCTGTTCCTTTTCAGTGACCCTGCCACTCAGTTGTTGCGCCTGATGCAGAGGGACGGCCTGACCCAGGAGCAGGCCGAGCAGCGCGTGGCGGCCCAAATGCCGCTCAATGAAAAGCGCGGCTTGGCCAATCACGTTATTGAGAACTCGGGCGGCCGGGAGGACACCCACCGGCAGGTCCTGCGGCTCCACACAAAGCTGGAGGACTCCATGGACTTCCTCTTAGTCAGGGTCATCGCCATCGCTGCCACCGCTGGTCTGGGTGGGATTCTGCTCTACGCAGCGAAAATACTTTTATCCTAACAGACGAAAGGAAGACGAGGGGAAGAAAAGGGTTTGGTGGAAGACGGGGTCAAATACGAGGGTGTGAGCAGAATGAGGCCGAGGCAGGTCGGAGGTACCGATGCAATTTACTGTGAAATTAGTTTCACAGCACCCAGCAGTACAGCACAGCGGTGTGACGTGCTCTGGTGACAGCTGACACAGACGTACGTTACCGATGAAGCTCACGCTGACGAACGTGGCCGCGTGAGAAAGTTTTTTTAATGTGCAATTTCTGTCGGTTTTTACCCAAAACTATGAAGGTGATCCAGTGGAGGCTCAGTTCTCAGAGTGACGCTCTCAGCAGCGACGGAAGGAGCCGAGACGCTGGCACCGTCTCTGTACTGGTGTAGCCATCAACGCTAACTCATAGGAACTAAAACATGTCAACACGACTGACACTGGAGAAGTTTTATTTTGTTAAACCTTTTACAACATATTTAGACATTTCAGTGATCGTATAGATTCTGAATACAAACATTAGAGAGATGAACATTAGCTTTTATGTATTTGGAACAAACTCTCGCTTCTATTTTAGTAAAAACAAAGTCAGTGCTAGCCCCAGTCGAGAATATGATTAAACTTAAGCTCTTAATAGAAAATCTAATGAAAGCGCTCAGTAGGAATGATGTGATGCTTACAAACTAGTGACGCGATTGTAAAACGGAGATATATTACAGAATGTATTTGACAATCCATTTTTAATGGGAACAGTAGGAACTAACAGATTTCATATTGATCACGGTATTTTCTTACACTTGAAGCTGTCCTCTGTAAATACAAAGTCTGTGATTTCTTTTTTTCTCTTTGCACATTTGTGACTAAAACACGTTTGTAACTTTATGCCTAATGAAATAAAAACGACCTGTTTGAAAGGATCAGAAGTGCATTTGTTGGTCGGTCTGGTTTCTTTGCTGTGACTCGGTTTGGATGTTCGGCTGTGCAGTCGGGTAGGAAGCTGCTTTCACATCAGTCTGGTGAAGAGGCATCGATTTGTCTGCACCAAACTTACATCTGGTTTCATGAAGAACAACATTATTTTGAGGCTGGTTTAGAAACCAATCAATATGCAACCTACATCAGTGTGATGCTGATGTTTGTAGCCTCCAGCACTCAGACACTGGGATTGGACTTCACAGTGAAGCAGGAACCATTTTGAGTCCAGAAGTTCACTTTTTTTTAAATGAACAATAATTTCATTTTCATAGAATCTGGATGCAGGAGAAGGAGAAGATGATTTTTTTTCTTCCATGTTGCCAGAAATGAAACACTGCCTTGAATAAAATCTGAATTTCTGTTCACGTATATTTTTTGTTTTGAATAATGTTGGAGGGGAATTTATGCAACTTTGTTCTACATCAGCCAAAAGGTGGATAAGAAATGTTGAATGTGAGCTCGTAAATGCTGCTGATATCCACAGTATCCAACCGGAGCCGGTCCATGCCTGCTGGAAGTCACAAACATCAGATGATTCCCTGTTACATCACTTCTTAATACTTTCATTAATTCTAAGTTAACAAGTAAAACATCTCCTATTAATAACCATCAGAAACAAATACTTCAGACAGACTATTGGAAATACAGGCCCCAGACATGAAGAGAATAAATCTGTGACCAGAGACTCACTCGTCAGTAAACTCATCATCCCTGAAACCAAACTGGACTCGTGTGATTCCAGTCAGCTGAGCTGCATTAAGCATGATTATAAAATGATCTGTCAGTTCTGGTCTTCTGAGCTCTGC